TTTTTCATGATAGTTAACCAATCAAATTACAGAATTTTTAAACAATTTATCGTTTTAATACTATTAGAAAATGAAGAAAACTTTGTATAAAGAAGCTTATAAACTAATAAATTCTCACAAAAAACTTATCTCAAGCACCTAGAGAATAGATAGATACGCGTAAAGTGGGTAAATGTGATATTTATTACTAATAAACCCGAATTCATTAAAGAATCTACAAGATGTAAGCCAAAACCTCTAATTTACAGTTGACAAACACAAATACACTACAAGAACCAAACAAATTTAAAAATTACACTAATCTAGCCTGAGTACTAATTTAAACAACATGCTAATCTAACTCGAGTACTAATTTAACAATGAACTCAAGTCTGAGTACTGGACATACCAAACACTTAGATCCGCACAAAAAAGCCAGATCTAACGAACTAATTCTTATAAAATCTCATTGCAAGATATAAAAGTATTGAGATTTAGTCTTAACATAATAACTTAAATGGCACTTAAGCAGCAATAAAAAGTTCTTTATTGTGTAAAACTTACGTCTTGATCGCCTTTTCAGTCTTTTTCAGTCAACTATTTCTGGAATTTAATACTTAAATATAGTTAGTATAGTGGTATATAGTAAAGTATTCACTTCTAAGTGAAGTTTGCCAGGTCATTGAATATTTTTGATTATTTTTACATAGTGAATGTTAACTCTTTTCCATACGTATTGGTGGTATTAATGATAGTTTTTAGTTAGTGAAATATTACGTTCTCAAAAAGTACTTTAAAGTGTATAAATAAGTTACTTGGGCAATTGATTTACACTAGCCAATCATACAAAAGTCTTTCTATGTGTTTCTATTATCTAACTATTCTACTATATCTTGTATTTGAGAATTCTTTCCTATTTCTATGTATCTTTTGTTTGAGTTTTGATTTTTTTTGTTTTTACTTTTCACTTTTCTTTTATTAATATTCCTATTCTCTAAGCTTTCTTCCTCTATTTCCGTATAACTTCTGCTTGAATTTTGGGTTATTCTGTCCCAGTTTCTTTCTCTTCTTTCTTGAGAACCTTCTCTTCTTTTAAATTCTTTCCTTCTTACATTTGACCAAAAAACATGAAAGTTATTATACATAATTGGTCTTGATTGTGCTATTTCTTTTTCTCTTTCTGTTGCAAATAAAATTATTGCAGTTCTTCTTTGGTTTCCGTTTCTATTTGGTGAAATGTATACTGATTTTGCATCTTTATTTCTCAGACATCATAATAGCAAGACTTCTGAAGCATTACTTGGCAGCTCTGTTAATTTTGCTGTATACTGCCTTTGTTTTTGTCTTGCTTCATGATCTTCTTTTCCTTCTGTTACTCTTACTAGTTTATAGTTATCAACTGGTATGGACCAAGAGGTACTTCTTTTCTCTGATTCTTCTACTTGGATTATTGCGAGAGCCTTGTATTTGGATCTTTTAACTTCTGTTATTTGTGCATTTTTGAATTTTCTGTATATATATTCAAGTTTCTTCTTATTTATGTCTGCTGACAGGTCCCAGATTGTTATATGTTTTGTATTTCTTGCTTCTTCTTCCTCAGAGTCTGTATTTTTTTCTTTTTCTTGAATTTCTTCTTTTCTATAACTCTTTTTTTTATATTCTGTTGTTTTGTCTTTTCTGTTTTGGTATTTGTTATTGTACATCTTTTGTTCTGTTTTTTTTTTTTTTTTGTCTTCTTCGGGTATCATTCTATACCAATCACTTTCTTTTTTATTTATTTTTTGTATTGCTTTGTTTCTACCAAACTCATAGTCAAAGTCTACCTCAACCCATACATTTCCTCGTTTAAAGGTTTCTTTAATATTTTTAACGTGTTCATTGTCTTTTAGTGACCATTTAATAAACTTTACACATTCTTCTTCTGTTTTTTCAGGTATGTTGTATGCTGGTATATTTGCAAGTAAGCTGTTGTTTTTGTTGCAACTTCTTTTGCTTGGTGCCTATATGCTTTCTTTTAATGGAATTTCTACCATATCTATTTCTTTATCTACTATCTGTTTTTTTCTTTTTTGTCTTTCTTTCTCTTCTGCTGTTGAACTTTGTCTTGATTCTTTTCCATCCATTTCTATATCTTCTTGTTCTGTTTCTTTTGTTTGCTCTTTTCTTGATTCTTTTTCTTGTACTGATGGTTCTTCTTCTAATTGGTTTGCATCTTTAATACTTACCTTTATTTTTGCTTTTCCTTTTGTAGTGAATTTTTCTTCTTGTAATCTTCTCTTGCTTGTATTGTCCTCTTCTATCTTCCTTTCGATTTCTCTTTCTGCTTCTTGTTCGTCTTTTTGCTTTACTTCTTTTTTGCTTATTTCTTGTTGCACTATTTCTTTATTTTCTTGTTCTTAAGTTTTTTCAAAATCAATTTGCATTATATATTTGTCTGCTTCTGTAAAGTTAAGCTTCTTTTCTGGTTATTCTCTTTCTGCTCTTTCGATTAATTCTCTAGTTTTCCTTAATAGTGCAACTTCTGCTGGGCTCTGCTCTGTAAGCATGGCCACAATTTTATCTTCTCTGTCTGGTATTACATATGTACTATTTGACTGATTGAAGAATATCTTATTATGTATTCTGTTTATTGCTCAGTATGCTCTTTTCATGAATATTGTTGAAAGACTTTCTCCACGCTCTATTAATTCCAAATTCTATTTATATCTATATCTTTCTGATTGGTTCTTGGTTACTTTGCTTATTTATTTATAGAATTTATGTATATCGATATAAGATTTGTGTATCTATTCTACTTTAGTAGCTTGCACATGTCTGTTGTTGTTTTGCTATTATGTGTTTTGTGTAATATAAACAAATCTACGTTACAGGGTCTAATGGCAATTCTCTACTACTATCATTTCCAAGTGAGTTTTTTCTTTTTCTTTAATAACTATATTATTATTCTTTGCAAATAGACTTTTCTTCTATTAGTTTATTGCTTTTCCTGTTGCTGCTTTTTTCTGCTTAGAGTTACTTGAGATGTTTTCTATTGCTGTTTTTGCTAAAATCTACTTTTTTCTTTAGTGATTTTTGTGTCCGAGTGATCAACTGAAAGAGTTTGGTCCTCATAAGCAAAATTTTGAACTACAAGCAATTTTTAAAAAAATTAGTATTTTCTTTCAGTTTCACATTACACCTAATCTTATGATTTAATTTGTTGATCAAGTGAGTGTATTACAATACATATATGCTAAATTATATAAACTATAAATAAATTATTAGCTTCTAAATGACAGATTATAAATTTAAAACCTATAAATAATAAAATTTGAAATTTTTATCTATATTATAGTAACTGTTTCTAATGATTAGATTAAGATATTTGTAATTATAATTATATTATATAACTAACAGATTATAAGATATTTGTATAATTAGTTATACAGAAGAATGCAAACTAGTATCAGGTAGTGCAAACTTTAGATAAGTCTTTATGACTATATAAATCTGTAGAAATTAAAAAACAAAAAACCTATTTGGAAAGACCTAAATAAAAAAATAATATAAATCTTTAATAGTATTATTATAAATACTAGATCTAGAAAATAAATACCAATATGAAATATTTAAATAGTTAAAATCTCTAAGAGGTATTACTAACTAGATTATTATAATTCTAACTGAAAAGATTAAAAAAAAAAATATTAAACTAGTCTAATATACTGATAAGCTAGTTATAGTTTTATATAAGTTATTTGAATTAAGAATTTAAAAACAGAATTAGAAATATACTAACATACTAAAAATATACTATAAAATGAATACTAAGGTTCAGGTTAACTCTACAAGAGCATAGCAGTTTAATAGTTAATCCTAATTGCAAGATTAGTTTAGTTATAATGATACTAAGTTAAGCTGTAAACTAGATATATAAATGGTTTTGAAAAATTTATCTTAAAGATAAATTTATCTTAAGATTGAGATAAAGATCCAAACATGACTTAGTAAAGTTAATACAAAACAGGTATAGAAAAAACACAAAAATATTAAATATAACAATTGATAAAAAATGTTAGATAGACTTTTTAAATAGATAATATAAAAAAATTATACATAATCAATTGTATATTTTTGTAATAGTTCCTTATAAAACTACATTATCTAAAAATGTATTAATAAAGTTAAAAAATTCAAAAGGTCACCTTAATATCAAAAAAAAAGTTTCAAGCATGATAACAAATTTAAAAAAAAATTTAAAAAAAATAAAACTAAAAAAACTAAAAAAAAAACTTAAATAATATCAAAAAAATCAAAAAGTTTTGTAAAATAATAATTAAAATTGAAAACAAAAGGTAATAACCTCTTATATTTATTAAAAACTGCATTATTTACTAAAAGTATTTAAAATTAATTTAAAAATTTGTAAATAAAACAAAAAAAATTTATAAAATTTATAAATACTTAAATATTAAATATATTTATTTAATTGCAAGTTAACATGTAAAATTTTGTAAATTACATTTTAATTTAAATATATCAAGTTGGTATATTATGCTTAAATAAGATGACCAATACATTGTTATATAATTTTTCTTGCAAATCAAAATTTATATAAAAAACAAAAATGTTATTAATAAAACTTTTTACTATTAAAACCAATTTTTGTTAATATATAAATTCAAATCTTCTACTTTCGAATACTACCTTAATTTTCCTGAGTGACACCAATTTTTCTAGATTACACAATATAAATAACATATGATCATTGTAAAAAAAATTAGTAACGTAATCACTATTAAAATGTAAATCACTTCACCCTACCCTGAAATACTTAGATTAATAAATATTCTTTATTTTCACATGCTTTATACTGATGAACTAAATAAAATTAATTAAAAAAATATATATTTAAAACAGGTGATGTTTATGATGTAAATTATGCTTTTACAATTCAAGTTACCCGGGTAGCAATAGTCATGACCCGGTTAACAAATCTTATACAGGCTACCCGGATGATTCTCATGCAGGGGAATCTCTAACTAGAAACTTTTCTTATGAATAATCTCTGGATCCTCTTGATATTCTTCTGCAGAGACCCACATCTATTATTAAATAAGATTATAAGGGACGTTAAATCAAGAAATAAATTCCATATATAAGAATTAAAAAATATTAAAATATTAAAACCTTTTTAAATGTACTCAAGGCAGCTAATATAGAACCACCAAACCACGTGCTATATTTTCTTTCTGGTGGTGCCAATATTTTGATCTTGATATCTTTAACAGCCAATTTTCTCACTTCATTCAACAACCTTGTACCAAAATCTATTGTCCATAAATAAATTATAAGTTCCATGATAAACAAAATTTACCACGCGTATCTAATGATAATAGTTTAAAGACCTTTATAAAGCGTTGAACCACCAGATAAAACAACATTGGCAAACAGAGACTTCCTTAAATCAAGATCAGCACGATTGATCGAATCAACAACAACTTGGTGAATCCCAGCGTATTCTTGTCCAATCAATTCAGGGTTGAATAAAATTTCAGGCGCTTTAAATCTTTCGGTTCCCAACTATAAGAAAGTTCATGCTTAAATGATCGTTTAGTATAGCAATAAACTAAACCAAAATGTAGGTTATAATACCTTAACAACGTTACCATCAGGTAAAGTAAATTCCTCGACTTTTCCGCTAGTATCTTTCTCCTCTTTTGATGGATTTATTGCAATATAGCATGTTTTTTCCTTAATAATACGAACGACTTCTTTTTCCGCTGTGGTATGAAAATTGTATCCCGCTTTACGAAGAAGCAGTTGCAAATGTTCTGTGACATCTCTATAACAATTAAAATAATAATATTATTTAATTTTATTTGAAAAATATAATGTATTAGACGTTGGTACATGCCTCCCAGCAATGTCAACTCGTCGAATAGCGTGTGGAAGAGCAAATCCTTCATAAACAGGGACCGCATGAGTTACACCATCACCTGAGTCAAGAACAATGCCAGTAGTTCTACCAGAAGAATAACTAGTTGAAAGAAAGTTAATAATAGCAAATATTAATTAATGTTAAATATAAAATATTTTCAAGAAATTAAGAATCTCGACTCACAGACTCAGCACTGCTTGAATTGATGCAAACAAGGCAGGAACATTGAATGTTTCGAAAAACATTTGGGCAGCCAATTCTCTATTAGTTCTTGGGTTTAGTGGTGCCTCAGTCAAAAGCACTGGATGCTGAAATATAATGTACAGATGGTAAAGCAAGAAGGTCAATTTCTCATTTGGAACACCCAAATTCCTGCACCTGATGTACATACTTCTTCTGATGCAATTTTTAGTTCTTCTTCATAAATATATTTCCATATACGCTCCATATCATCCCAATCAGATACAATGCCATGTTCAATGGGATATCTTATTTTGAGAAGGCCTCGCAACTCTTGTGCCTTACGTCCAATAAAAACTTCCCCCTCAACGGCACCTGCCATGATACGAACGTGTTTTGGCCTTCCAACACTATAATCCACAAAAATATAGCATGTTCAGAGAAAGGGAAACAATAAAAAGCTAGTAAAAAGTGGGTAAACATACTAGGATGGGAAAAAACACTTTGGAATTTCATCACCAGCAAACCCGGCCTTAATAACTCCAGAACCCTAAAAAATTGTTATAACTTAATACCGCAAAAAACGCATTGTATTTGTTAATATTTTTTTTGCTTACATTATCAATAACTACGGGTTGGTTTGTCAAAACGTCTTCGTACTCCATTGTAAATCCACCGATGATTTAAGAAATGAGATTCTAGCAACCTGTTTGAGTCATCTTATGTTGCGATTCAGATCTTTCGTGAATTGCACATGTCGTGTAACAACGCTAACCGATTACAGGATTATGGTCTTCAACAGATCATGTGACTAAACAACATATCGAGCTTCATATAAAAAAAAAAGGTAAGGGAATACTTGCGAAAGATAATTATTATTGAACTATTCTGTTTTATATGTATATATATATTTTGCTAACTTTGTATACAAATATTTATATAAAGAATTACCTTAAGGTTATGCAAAATTAATTACAGTCGACCCCCGTTAATATCAACCTCGCTAATATCAGCCTAAGCCACAAATCAAATTTTTATAAATTTTTATATACGCCAAATAGGTTGATATAAACGAGGGTAGACTTTATAACTTAGTTGGTCATTTAATTACATTATAGCACTAAAATTTGAAATATATAATAGTACTGAATTTTAAAATTTATTGTCAAATTTTAGAAATTATGTTATTACTATATAGGGGGTGTCAGTAGAAACCAAGCAAATTGTTTTTAATGTGTTTTTTTAAAATTTTAAATTAAAATATCTCAACAACTATTAAACCAAACTTGGTAATTTTTTATTTATTTATTTATTTATTTATTTAGTATTAAGATAAGGTCTATTTTTTATTTATTTTAATTATATAATTATATAGAATTAAAATAAAAAAAAATTTATCAAGTTTGGTTTAATAATTGTTAAGATATTTTGTTTTAAAGTTTAAAAAAAATTTACTTAGAAACAATTTGCTTGGTTTTTACTAACATCTTCTTATATATTATACAGATCAAAAAAAGTAAATAAATGTTAAATATGCAAAAAAAATCTGTCATTATTCTATCTTATATCTGTCAAATAATAACAGCATAACAGTAATATAATAGTAAAATAATAGTAAAATAATAGGAGGTTTGTTAATATGTATTAGTAATATATTATTATTTTATTTATAATTATAAAAATTAAAAGTAAAATAATAAAATTGTTTCATTATTTTACTAATATGTTACTATTATGATATTAGTATTAACAAATCTCTTGTTATATTATTATTTTTTTGCAAATATAAAATAGAATAATAGCAGATATTTTTTTATTATTTAAACTTTATTAACTTTTATTTATTTTTTTAACTTGTATTACCAAATAAAACAACCAAAATGTTGCAAAAAATAAGATTTTTTTTTAAACTAAAATAAAAAAATTACTTTAATTTAAGTACAATATTATTATTAAAACATATTAAAAAAAATAGAACATATTATATAATTATTAAAATTATAATTTATACAACTTAAAGTACTATTTCAAGAATTTTATAATTTATCTTATGAATAATGCATTAGTTTTTTATAAAAGTTAATGTTTTTATAATAATATATATATATATAAATGAAACTAAATAGAAAAATAAACTATAACAGCAAGACAAACAAACTCAAAAAAGATTTCAAAGCAAGGACACTTGCTTTTGTTATAAGAAAAAGATCTTTTAAAGCTTTTAATAATACAAAAAGCTTTGGCACTATGGCAAAAAAACAAAAAATAACAACAAATACTAATAAGAAAAACATCAAAAACATAAAGCCTATACAAGTAGAAGACAATAACTTAGGTTTACTAGAATATATTAACAAAAGCAATCCTAGTTAGAATGGGCAAGTAGTTCAAGAAACTAAAAAACTCAAGAAAATAACAAATACATATAAGGAAGAACTTAAAGAAAATAGAATATATATGACAAAAGAAACAATCTTATTAGAGAAAAAAGTAACAACAACATAGCAACACTCATAGAACAAGACAACAATACTTTTACATATAATGAAGAGATTATTGAAGCTAATATACTTAATGAAAAGATCTTCAAAATTAGTATATATAATGAAGATAACAACAAAATAACAACATGTGACAAAGAGGTTTTTGAAACTAGTACAAATAACAAAGACAAATAGGAATAATAACTCAAAATGAGTTAATAAATGAACAAAGGAACTTCACTTTGAAAATGAATACAACTTCTAGCTTTAGCAGAATGATTGAACTATTAACAAAAAAATAGTTAAGTCTTTTTTCTAAACTTAAAAGAGACCAGTTAACTTACTCATTCTTTTTTTCTAAGAACACAATTAAATCAAAAAATGAAAATGCTTTCATTATAGATATACAAAGCCTATAATGCTCTTTTAATAAAATTATATTATTTTTATTCAAATAGCTAAAAATAACATTATTGCAGCTAAACAACATCTTACTAAAAGAACATAATTACATTTAGAAATTATCTTCACAAATAAAAAAAAAACTAAAAATCTATATAATGAAAAATGTTAAAATTTTTAACAAACCATATTTTGAATATATTTTAATAAATATAAGAAAATTATTCTTGCTAATCAAAATCAAAAACATTCTACTAAGCAACAAAAAAGAACTGTCAGACTCAATTAAAAATACTTTTGAAAATATAGATAAAATAGCATCAATTAAAACTCTGTTACTTGAAGGTATATCATATCTAACAGATCAATAAGTCATAATTTTTGAGACTACAAAGGATCTATTTTTAGAAAGTAAAATACTAAAATTTATTCATATTTGAGATAACAAAATCACAACAAAGTAAAAGGCAGCAGCAAAAGTATACTACTTTTGCAAAAAAGAAGAGCATATTAAAAAGGAATGCCAGCTATTTCAGAAATCAGTAGCTTTCTGTTAACATTATTAAGACTTTAAAAAAAAAATTAAATTATACAACAAAAAAAATTTCACAAATATCAGACCAGAACAAGAATCTCATACAACTAATCCTGCTAATAAAAAAAAATATGCATATTTGCAAGATGATATACCTATTACTGATAGTGCAGACTTACAAGAAAATGATTTAATATAAGATAAACAAAACATGTCTTTGTTACCTTTAATAGAAATAGACAATAAAAAAAACTTTACACTAAGTAAAGATAAGGACCTCTCACCTGACCTAGTACTAGCACCTTATAATGAACTGGTTGCACTATATCTTAATGCAGAACTACAGACAGGAAACAAAAATATAAATAAAATATTATTTATAATAGAAGTTGACAATAAGAAGACCCCTATAGCATCTCATAAAAAGAATAAAAATAAAAAAAAAGAGTTTATAGTATAAGAACCAATTAAGGCCTAGCCCATATAGAAAACAACACAATGAGGGATTGCTCTCATAGACCTAATTGGGTCAAAATTTTTGTACATTTATATGCCTTCAAAATTTAAACTTAAAATCACAACTTTAAATATAAAAGAACTAAATAATTAAGGCAAACAACAAAAAACATTAACATTTCTAAAATCTTACAATTTAGATTTAATAATAATACAAGTGACTAATCTTAACAATAAAAATACTAGAAACTTTTTAAAACACCAATAGATATACAACTTATTCTGGTTAGACAAAGTAGCAATTCTGGCTAGAAACAGAAACATTACCTTTAAAAATACAAAAATACACCATGATGAATGAGTTATCACAGTATTATTTGTCTATAAAGGTCTCTTATTTCAAATTATTAATGTGTATGCACCTTCTAACACCAGTAACAGAGTAATATTTTTTGATAACTGGAGTTCTCAAATAAAAGAAAATGCAATAAACATTATAGTAGGAGACTTTAACATAAACTTAAAACCTGAAGCAAACAGAATAAGTCAAGCAATACCTCAGCCAGACTTTTCTAGAAACCAACTGTTGAAATTAACAAGAAATCTCTCAAACACTACAAAAATCACAGATTCTAAGTCTTTCCTTATATTTTATCAAAAAACACAAAATGGTAACATAATAATAACATATTTAGACTACATATTTATCAATGAGAATTAATTATATTTAGTCTCTAAGGTCATTACATATTTTGGTAACTCTAACCATCTTCTAGTTAGTTGCTTACTCAACTTCAACTAGAAACAAAAACAAACATCCAGCTGGTAATTTGATAAAACTATGTTTAATAATAAAAAACTTAAAAAAGAGGGTTTTAAGAAATTAGTGAATCAAATACAACAGAGAACTAGAATCTTTGCAAAGTTTACATACAATCGATTATAAGAGTATTTAGGAAGCCAAAAACAACAGAAAGCAAAATCTCAAAGCTTAACAATAAAATAACAAAGTTAAGTAAAAAAATAGCTGATTTATTAAACACAAAAGGCTTGTTTTTATCTTTAGATAAGCTTAATGTACAGCTACAAGAGAAGTTAACATCTTTGGTAAAAAAATGGCATATCTGCTTCAAAGTGCAATAGATAGAACAAGGTAAAAAATTAATGAAATACTTCTTTGCAAAAATATAAACAAAGAAAATCCTATGCAACCTACTCAGAAATTAAAGTTTCAAATAGTAATCATTAAAATAATAAGAACATTTTACAAAAACCTATAAAGCAGAAGAGTTTGACAAGAAAGCAGCAGAAAAAATCACAGAAAACCTTTTACAAATACAATATGAATTCAATAAAGATTTGGTCAAAAAAATTACACAAGAAGAAATAATAAAAGTTATATGAAACCTACTAAATAACAAGTCTTTTAAAATAGATAACTTAACTTATGAATTCTACAAACTTACAGAAGAAGCAGTTGTACAAGTTTTGAAGAAGATCTTTAATAAAACTCTAAACTCTAACATTCTTCTAGTCTTATAGTACAAGAATCTAATTATACTAATCCCAAAAAAATTAGAAGAGCTTGACAATATAAACAACTAGAAACCTATTTTGCTAATTAACAGTGATGCAAAAATCTTTATGAAGATCATAACCAACAGGTTAAATTAAATTTATAATGATATAATCCCAAGTCACCAACAAGGCTTCATTATAAATAAGTCTATAACAGACATAGCTCTCAATATTTTAATAACAATAAGAAACCAAAAAGATAACTCTAAAC